TAGTTATTATTTTTGTTCAAATGTTTATAAATGACACAAATGTTTATTATTGAGAGATTATTAATAAATTGATTTGCTTTCCATGAAAGCAATGCTTATAGCAATCAATTGTCTTTACTTTCTTACAGTATTTTTTATTAATTATTTAAAATAATTTATATTTCATATTTAATTAGCGTTTATAATAATTAATAATTTGTGTTAAAATTTCCCACTTTTAGTCTTTTTAGTCAATTTTTGTGAAATGTTTTTATATTTTATATAATTTTTAAGTTTTAGTGTAAATGTTAGATTACAACAAAATATAATCCAAACACAAGTGTAAATACTTTCCCAAAAATAGTAGAGTTTGTGAAATTGAATTTTAGTTTTTAAGGATTATTGAAAAAATTTTAATCATCAAAAACTTATGACTAAAAACATTTCAATCGCTATCTGTATATTCAATGTCCAAATTTTTCACTAATTGTTTCAATATTTTTAAAGTGTTATCAGAAATTATATTTCAATTCTACCCATTAGTCCATTAGTGAACTCCACTAATCATTAAGTCTGTGGTATTGAAAGCCAAACACCAATCCATTTATGTCTCCAAACATCAAACAAATCAAACACTCGTTTAGTTTTCCCAATATTTTCGCCGTTAAAACAACTCTTTCTTTAATATTGTGTTACATTTTTAGTATTGATCTCAATATTAGTTTCATATATAGTTTATTAGTTTATTATACCATTTAGTGTTTTTTGGTTGAATTTTGAATTATAGCATACAATGGAAATTAAATATGCGATCGTCGGCGACGGGTCTGTATTTGGTGTCAATTGTCCTCTCATTGTCTTATAATGTCTTCGTGTCTGTGATTGTCGTGTCATTAAATTTAGTGGTGTTTTAAGTGTTTAATAAAATTTTTAAAAAATGTTTATTAATATAGAGCTGTCGCAAAGGGCAACCGATTGGTGAGCCCAGAAAACAAGAAGGTGTAAGTAAACCATCGATGATACCAATCATCCATAGATTATATCGTTTATGCGATTATATATTAAATGTTTGGTTTGTTTTTCACTACTTCTGTGTCACTCTCTGGTGATCAACAGATACCGCGATTACCTGAAGAAAGCGATGATCGAAGGAAAGAGTCGGCAAATTCACGCCCTTTGGTGCCCAAACAGTGAGGAGCACTTCAACAGTCTTTGGCCCACACTAACAGTCTCTCAACCGGTATGTGTTTTTTGTGGTGATAGTCCTCTTGATTCCAGTCACTAAATCTGTCTTAAACTGATATACAGGACGTGATTTTCATATGGTTTTGGCTCAGAAATCCGGCCTCATTTGAGAACGTGAGGGCAAAGGTTGGTAACAATTGACACACCCTTTCATCTGTTATAAGTTCTAACTAATCACTCACTTGTTTCTCCCTTTCTCTGTCAAACTCGACGCCCATATATTAGTGGTATCCGGAAGTCTCACATCACTGTCCAAATACACCAATTATTCTGGTGGGCACTGAATTGGATGTGAGCGACGACTCGAAGGAGAAGCTGGACCGCAAACTGGCGCCCATAACGTACTCGCAGGGGCTGGCGATGGCCAAAGAAATCGGTGCCGTTAAATACCTGGAGTGTCCAATACTAGCACTCGAATGCATGAAGAATGTGTTCGGTGAGGCCGTTCGGGTCGTATACCCGCAACCGAAGCCGAAGCGCAAGCAGTGTTTGTGTGCTCTGATGTAATGGCCAATCGATAACTCCCCGTGTGTTTTGCTATTTGTGTCGTGTAATGAATGTGTTTTTTAACGGTTCCGGTCGTCGACACCATTGTTTTAATCCTAACATTTATATTAATTGATTATCGCTTTTAAAAATCTCTTTTTTCTCTAATTATTAATTATATTTTTTGTTACTCTAATAGAGTGAACACATGTTTTTAAATGTAACATTTTTTAAATAGAAATTACTTATTAATTCTTCTAAAATCTAATTATTAAAAGAATTGATATTTTTTAATAAGAATTTTTAAATACTTTATAATTATATTGAATTCAATAAAACGTTGTTAAAGAAATTAAATATATTTTTAATTATATGAAATCACATGTTTTTTATTGAAAATTTGAATTGAATTATAGTAATTATTATCTTCTGGAAGTGCTTAAGTGATATTCAGTGGTTGTTATCATTTGAATAAAACCGAAACCTAATTGAAAATGTGTACACATTTCAGAATTAGGACCAGAAATATGACATCTCATTAAATTGTGCGACAATTTAGTGAAACAGTAGTCAATTCATTCAGAACTCACTTCAAAATCAATATAAATTAACCGATAAATAGGCAATTGTTTTAATAAATCACTAATTCATAGATTTATAAAACATGTTGAACTAAATTAAGTGCAAAACCATTGAATAAATGGTAAAGAATTTGATAATAGAGATGAGAGATGGAAGTATTGGCGCCACAATTGCACACAATTTATATCACATGTAATTTTAGCAGGTATGCAACCAATGACCAAGGTGCACTAAACTATTAAATATTATTACAACTATAATCAGTTTATGTTTATTTATATTTCCAACTTGTGTAATTAATTTTTCTAAATCTATAAAATAATTTTATTAATCAATTATATTTTTAAATTGTCTTTAATTCAATTACAGTATGAATATTTATAATAAACTTATTTGTTATAATTTCTTTTAATTATTATTACTGTTATTTAATATTAATATTAAAAGCAATGATATTTTTCGAATTAAATTATCATTCTACTCATGATTTGTTTATTAATTTAATTAAATTAATATATTTTTAATCATTATTTCTATTGGTTTATTAATTATTAAGCACAACATTTTACACATTACGTTAATTCTTTCAATTCGTATAAACAAAAAATGTGATTAAAAACAATTTAAAACATTTATCACATACTTATGCAGTGATAGTAAGACGAGTGCTTCAAATGACAACTTCTTTTCGCAAACGGTGTAAACATTTTATTGATTTTATTCTGTGTTTAGAGGATATTCCGGGAGTCGTATAGACAGTCGCAATCCATTTTTCAAAGGCATCTCTCTCTCTCTCTCTCTCTCTCTCTCTCTCTCTCTACAAATAACATTAAGAATTTTATATACCAAATGCGAGTGTGTTTTAGGATATGATAGCAAAGATGTTGTACTCTCTGTGCTCTACCAGTGCTTACTGTATGTGCATTGAGATGAACATTGAGGAGAAGCGCGGGAGTGAATGAGTTCAAGAATAAATGAATGGAGAGAGAGAGAGAGAGAGAGAGAGAGAGAGAGAATGTGAGAGATGTTGAGCTCTACAGCCCATTGAAACGAATAGCAAATGGATGGCTCCGATCGTTGTCTCCGAGTTTCGTATTAATGTTTATATCAAAACTCACAATAAGAGTGAAAGAGAGTGAGAGAAAAGAGGAGAGCGAGAGAGCGCTGGCGAGGGCTGAGAGACACACACACTGTGTGGCAGAGATTCTGTGCTTTTGTTGATACAAATTCTTCATCTTTTTCCTCTCTATTTTCTCGTCTCATTCTCTGCACTCTTTCCACTCATACGATGCTATCGTAAAGAATGGACTCATTTTTTGTTACTCCTGTTGTTGTTTTGGAGAGTGAGAAAAATGAATGACTCTTCAGTCTATAACTCCAACTCTTATATATAACAGAGTTTAATATTTGCTAAAATATATTGTATATAATCTATAAAAAGTGTTGTTTAATTCATCGGAACATTGCTTTTGATATAAATGCCTCGCTCTCTGCCTATCGCTCATATGTTTTCACATGTATTAACCCTATTATGAAAAATAAATAAAAATTCATACTCTAATCGATATTTTCAATTTTGATAATTATTATTACATTATGTATAAAGTATGTAAGAATTTGTTTATATAATGCCACCAATTATTATCACATGAATAAACAATCATCATTAATTTTATCAATTAAATTCTGGTGCAACAATGTTTGTATTATTATCGCAATGATAACGGTAACAATCATTATGCTTTTATCAAGAATAAAGTACCATGAACCAATTGACAAATATTTATAATTACTTACCAATTGTTAATGTATTGATAAATACAATGTGTACTAAAATGTTTGATAACACTCATCACCACTAGTGTTAAGATCGGTGTCTAATATAAGTGTGTTATTTATGCGGCATCTGTTTGGGAGTGTAGGGCCGACACCATCAACACAATCGCCATTCGCACCATTCATACCATTCCCACCGCCAGAAGACAACGGACAGCAAGAATTTGATGCGAGAATTATCGCACATATCTCTTACTATTCATACATTTGGCCATTCAATGCATTTCCACACAAGAATTGCATTCATAATTCATTTCTATTGAATTTATTTTTGCTCACATTATGTCCGTGCGATCCATTCGCATATTAAGGTCTCCCATCGTTTTTTATCATCATTTATTATATACACGTAAACCGTATCTAAAGCTAAACATTTTGCTTATTTTAAATTTAATTTAAATTTTTAATATAATGTTAGAATATATTTAGTCATGAATTCAGAATTTAATAAATAAATTCTTTTTATGTTTATTATTTGTTTTTTAATATATTAAACATTAAACATCACTGGGGTAACAATAATCCATATATTAATAACCCTATTATTATTGACCCAGAAAAATAACCTCCCGGAGCTGTATTGCTAAATTCATTAGTGTTTATTACCATGATTAAATTGATGATATATACAAGCATGTCACAACATTTATTTAACCACGTTATGCGAAGTCAATCAATTTATTATAGTTAAAAACAAAATGTATATTAATTTGATTGAGTGATTGTCAATAGATTACTGACTCCACTCTCAGCCATATCTTCATCCGTGTCGACAGCAATCGCTTTACTAACCAATGAATGGCTTCATTCCATTGAATACATGTCTAACAAAGACTATCAGAAGTTCTCAATGCCTCCAGAGATGGAATATAATGAGAAGATCACTGTCTCTGGTCTTTGGCAGCTCTGCCATAACGACCGTAAGTCTACAAAATAATACCCGCTATTAATACCGATGACAAGCGATACCAATCTTCCCATCAATTTGGCCCATATTTTATATGTTAGGAGTTTTTTGCAATTATTTTTGTTTATTCTGCAAAACCGAGTGAACGTTAAATCACAGATAGTTTTTTGTATTGCTTTTAATATTATAACAGATTTTATACCGAAATCCTCTTTTGTGTTGATTTATTTATACGGAATTTTATTTATTGAATTTATATTGATATTCATATATTGTTATTCTGTATCTGTATTCCTGGTCAGCCCCTCAAAAACTAATGCACTGTTTTGTGATCGACTATTTCTCCAATGAAGAGTACAGTCCGGACCCCAACGACTCAACAAATGCATTACCATGTATGTATTACTTGTTTAAATAGATTTTAATTATATGATTAAATCTAATGAATTTCCTGTTATCTGATTTGAAATGTAAATGCATTTAAAGGAAAATTTTTTAAACAAAAAATAACTCAATTTTCTTTCCGTAATAACAAATTTTCTCAACCATTGAATTGAAGTGATAGAAAAAAATATGGATTTTTACTCTATTATGCAATTGGTTTTGTGTTTTTTACACTACTCTGAACTCTAATTTAATAATTTGTGTCATTTCATGCACTCGTACTTTTTTAACAGCAATTTTTTTGCGAAATACTTTCATATTTGATATAGTTTTTAAGTTTTAGTTTCACTTCTCTGTAGTATCAATATTATTACAAACAATAATTCAAACACAAAACGTAAACATTTTCTTCCTAAAAACAGTAGTAAATATTTTCAAAATTGAATTTCACTTTTCAAATGTTATTCAAAAAATTCAAATATGTTTTCGCGTGATTTTGCAAATTGTATTAAATTTGGTTTTATTTTATAAATAATTTATAAATCTTTTGCCTTAAATTCAATGAAAAAATACGAGAATGAATGAGAAGTATTCATTCAAATGGAAAATGACTTTCTATTATAATTTCTACAGATTTTTCTTCACTGAAATTGATTGAAATTAGAGATACTATGCGATAGTATTGTGAATAAATAGCATTATATAAATACTAATGGAAAACATACGTTAAGATTTGCTTTAATTCTAGCCCTACCGGTGCTAATGAGATATTATGTAAGGATTGTTAAATACAATATACAGTACTAAATACATGTATTGGTATTTATACAATACATTGTTATTTAATTATTAATGATTTAATTATTAAGCAATACTCTATTACTGTATATGATGTTTATATAAATAAATATTTTACAATTTACAGAACATTAAAATGTTATTTTATTGTAAATATTGTTCATTTGAAAATTATGGACAAATTTATATCCATTTTCTTTAACATCCAAACCTTTTATATTGAATATAGTGTATGCATACATAACTACAGAATCATATATTATTTAAATGCTAATACATTTTATAAATTAAATATTTATTAATTTTAACAATTGATTGTATTATTAAACTATGAAAAAACTCAATGAATTTAAATTTCTGTCATATTTTTTACGTTTTGATGGATCAGATGCGGCGAAGAGGGCGGCGGTGTTTATAATGATTAGTTGTGTTATACTATTAATCGGACAGTTATTATGCTTTTTGGGTCACGTATGCACCAGAAGAAGAGTGTTCACATTCGCCGCCGGTATTGCTTTTATAATCGCAGGTAATATATTATCCGTTATTAATGTATTAATATTTCCCCGAATAATACTTTTATGTCTTAATCGATATTTTTGCTTAACATTAAGACATCGCGAAAACCAATTATTTATTAATTATATGAAATAAACAATATTTTATGTATGATATATGGATGATCTCTCTCTCTCTCTCTCTCTCTCTCTACAAATAACATTAAGAATTTTATATACCAAATGCTAATATTTTATGTATGATATATGGATGATCTCTCTCTCTCTCTCTCTCTCTTTTCTTTTTCTTCTCTTTCATAGCCTATGATATAAACCGATATTATTGTAACAATTTGTAGATTTAATTATTAATACAAAAATTTCTATTGAATGTATCAATAATTCAATTAAATCACAGCAACTCTTAACTCCATTCTCGCCTTTTTAAAGATCAAAGTTCTCAAAGAAAATCAATACAAAAATACACTATTTTTCACTTTTAAAATTTAATAATTTAAACTGGAATTTATGACATGTAGAATGTTTAACAGGGCAGTTTTATTGAGGCTTATCACAATAATAAACAGTGAATAACCAATGAATAACCAGCAGGGAATTTAAAACTAAATGACACAGCATGTTGTCGCAAAATGTTTAATTAATTATTAATTAACTGCAAAATTATTAATTTATACATACAAACATATTTACGCCTAGGTTTATTAATACTTGCCGGAATGGTAATATACATCTCAACATTCAAGGCAGAGGTGGGCAACAAACTGCGGCCAAAGTCTTCATTCCAGGGGCCGATGTTTAAGTACCGCTACGGCTACTCATTCCTGTTCGCCGTCAGCGGACTAATACTGTGCGAAATCGCCGGCACTGTCGCCATATTCCTCTACATCCGTTTGCATCAATTCAAATACAAGATCGAGTACGAGAGGGAACAGTTCGTTATGGTCGACGACTATCTGCCCACACCCACAGCACCCCCGGGACTGACCACCACCGGGGCGGCCGTCGCCGTCGGCGAAGGGCCCAACTCTATGGCCTATTGCAAGCGTCACGGCTCCCGAGGCCGGCGCTACAGCCGCACCCGTGAACTGTCCCGCGAGACCAGTCCCTGTTGTCCGCCGACGTCGGCTCACTATCAGCTCAAGTCCTCCTCCAGACACGGCTCTCTCAATGTGCCCAACACTCTGATGCCCACACTCTCCGACTCGATGCGCGACTTAACTTATTTCAATTTCCCCCCGTTTTCGCGCGAAACCACCTGTAATACTGTCTCGACGTCGGCCGACATTATGCGCGACTTCTCCCGCGAATTCATGACCCCTCAGCCCCACCACCGCAAAGATAATATGGTGTCCACACTTGACTATCCGCGGGAACTAATGCCACGCAAAGAGTTCTCGTTGGAAACGCTCAGACGGACGACACCCGTGTGAATGGTGTCTCTCTGTGCGCGTGTTTGTGATGAGTATATAATCGGTTTGTTGTGTTTTGTTGTCCCCACACATGGATGTGGTGCTAATTGTTGTCCACCGGAGCGCCGTTGGAATCAAGAGTTGATTTGGTTATCATATCATCGAAACCATAATGTGTTACTCTGTTTATTATATGCAACCAAAATGCAGTTTTGTTTGATTGTATTAATGATAATAATATTGTATAAAAACTTATTTTCAACGAATTATAATAAGACCGCAAGAATATTCTGGACGTGTGTTTGAGTCTGTGTTAAGACTCGTTTTGATAACTATCGATAAACTACACACACATTCATTGCAACAATAATATTAATATTAATCATTAATTTCAATACAAATGATTTCATAATTCAATAAATAATTATTTATTTAATTAAATCAAAAGTAATCAACAAAACATCAAATGAAAGAAACTTTGTAACAAAAATTACCCGCAAAACAGAAGAGAAAATGTGAGAAATGTGCAAAAACACAATGAAATTACAATTAAATGATAATAAAAGAAAATTACTAATAATAAAAACCAAAAAGCAATACTTAAAAAAGTAAATTTCAAGTCATGCTATGTTTGCAATTATGCATAACGTCTCACAGAATAATATATATATATAAATGTTATATTAATTCCGATTCTGTATAACAAATGGAGGAAACAAACCAAATAACAAAACAAAAAGTGAACTTAAGCTCAATATTATTGATAACAATTAAATTAAAAAACACTTAACTTTTTTAATATAAACTTTAAATAAAAAAATACATGGTATGTATTATACATATAATATTTATCGACTATAGGCTGGATGTTATACAAAATCTATAACATTTGGATATCTCACCAATTATTATAGATATACCGTTGAAAAGCATAGTTTTATTAATATTATAATTCATATCACAATTTGATTTTTGTATAAATAACTCCAACAAAAATAATTATTTGTTGACAATTGTTAAACATGTTTCTCTGATTACAAAATATAACACTTATAGTACTGTACTATCACTTAATTACAGATATCTCTACAACAAAAATACCACAAAATTTATTTAAAATCCTTATTATAATTCAATACTATAATTAATTGTCATTAATTTTAACGCTAAACCTAATGAAATTTTAACAGAATATTCTGGTGTTTGCATTAATACAGTTTTAAGCACACATTTTATGTTAATATCATCTAATTATAAGCTACACATTATATAACAGCCTTTGTATTAAAAAATAATTTTAAACGGCAAACGAAATCCAAATTTTTTATAATCAAAGTTTTTAAACCAAATAAGAATTTACATAATAATAATAAAAACATGTTGCTTATTTTTAAGTAACATTGAATATATTAATAATAATATATTTAACAAAGCATTTATTAATATTATTATTATTGATTATATCCCATGAGATTGTTATATATATTTAAAAAGTATTTATAGTTTTAAACAATTTAGTTCATTGAATGTATAATAAATAAATTGTTCGCAATTACTATAAATTGAATAATGTTTGACAAAATTTAGTGAAAAAATCAATTGAATTTAATATTTAAATAAAAAATTATTAATAAAACTTACAATTTAATTAAAAAGTCACATTCAATCGACAATTGCCATACATAACCGGGAAATGCCTATACATTATAGCCTGGGGTACACCTGTCGTACACCACAACCACTCTCTTCCCATATCCTACCTGTGCTGCACTTGTATGCCATCTGTTTGTACGGCCCATAAGCCATGCCATTGGGAGTCACACCCCATGTGTGAGAGAGTGAGAGAGCACTGGTGTAGGGATAGGGATAGAGAGCGCCTGTAGTGTATGACTGGTGTATGCGTTGAGCCCCTGAACACAGCCTTCAAAGCCTATTCACAATTGTAATCGTAATAGTCTTCCAATGGCTGTAGTATTGAAAGCCAAACACCAATCCATTTATGTCTCCAAACATCAAACAAATCAAACACTCGTTTAGTTTTCCCAATGTTTTCGCCGATAAAACAACTATTGCTTTGATTTTGTGTTAATTTTTAGTATTCATCTCAATATTTGTTTCATATATTAACTGTTTATTGCGTTTATTATACCATTTAGTGTTGTTTTGGTTGTGTTTTTCATATACAGTATAATAGCATACAATGCAAGCCATCAAATGTGTTGTCGTCGGCGACGGGTCTGTATTTTTTTTGCTGTCAAATGTCTTGTAATTGTCTTACGATGTCTTCGTGTCTGTGATTGTGATGTCATTTGTGATGATCACCGCATTTGGTGCCGGTATTCGGTGTATGGCTTTAAACCTAACGATTAGTTTAACTAATATTAATTAATTGCTAATTAAAAGTGGTATAAATAATATACATGTATATCATTAGCGAAGGGTTGACTCATAGGAAAGCTATACATGTATTGATTGCCTCTCATATCAAATACACTAATCATCTGATTATTAGTTATTTTCGTTTTTAATGTTTATTTAATTATGATTTCAAAATTATGTCAAATAATGTTATAAATAGTAATTGTTTTTCCAATTGATTGATAACAGGGTTTGTGACAAAAATATGATGTCTTGAGAGCCAAATATAAACCCAAAACTAATGGCTATTATAATTGTGTAGCAAATGGTTGTGTGAAAAACTCCCACTCATTTCCCTATTCTCTCTCTCTCTCTCACACATGGGGTGTGACTCCCAATGGCATGGCTTATGGGCCGTACAAACAGATGGCATACAAGTGCAGCACAGGTAGGATATGGGAATATAGACAGATGTGTTTATGGGATCTTCAAGTGGTGCTCAAGAGTTGTGTCATCTCTCTCTCTCTCTCTCTCTCTCGAAGTCTTAACAATACTATTAAATATAATACTTGTTATTAGAATTGAATTTACATATGAATGAGGATATGGTTTGATGTATGATATGATGGTATATATGGAGATGAATACCACGAGAGATGACACAACTCTTGAGCACCACTTGAAGATCCCATAAACACATCTGTCTATTCCTGAAGGTCTTATCCTTCAGTCTCTCTCTCCCTCTCCACACATAACCTAATCATATGAGAGAATAAATTAATGTTTGATTTTTAAACAAAACTATTTTTGGGTTTTCTATGATTAGCCCAAAACCCACACCAAAACTCCTTTACAATGAACTGATTTATCGATGTTTTTAGTGTTTAATAAAATTAGTACAAAAAAGTGTTTATTAATAACTTTATATCTTATTTTTTACTCTCTTTTCGCCACAAATACAGAGCTGTCGGTAAGACATGTCTTCTCATCAGTTATACGACAAACGCATTCCCCGGCGAATACATCCCAACGGTGTAAGTAAACCATCGATGATATCAATCATCCATTGATTATATCGTTTACGCGATTATATATTAAATGTTTGGTTTGTTTTTTACTACTTCTGTGTCACTCTCTGGTGATCAACAGATTCGACAATTACTCGGCGAATGTGATGGTCGACGGAAAGCCTATAAATCTGGGCCTTTGGGATACAGCCGGTCAGGAGGACTACGACCGACTCCGACCCCTTTCATATCCACAAACGGTATGTGTTTTTTTTGTGGTGACATTCCTCTTGATTCCAGTCACTAAATCTATCTTTAACTTGATATTCAGGACGTATTCTTGATATGCTTTTCACTGGTAAATCCGGCCTCATTCGAGAACGTGAGGGCAAAGGTTGGTAACAATTTACACACCCTCTCATATGTTATAACTTATATCTAATCAATCACTTGTCTCTCCTTTTCTCTGTCACACTCGACGCCCATATATTAGTGGTATCCGGAAGTCTCACATCACTGTCCAAACACACCGATCATTCTCGTGGGCACTAAACTAGATCTGCGCGACGACTCCAAGACATTGGAAAAGCTGAAGGACCGCAAACTGGCGCCCATTACGTACCCGCAGGGGCTGGCGATGGCCAAAGAGATCGGAGCCGTCAAATACCTGGAGTGTTCGGCGCTCACCCAAAAGGGCCTGAAGAATGTGTTCGATGAGGCCATTCGGGCCGTACTCTGTCCGCAACCGAAGCCGAAGCGCAAGAAATACACGTGCGATCTGTTATAATGCCTCCGATCGCTATCGCCGTGTGTTTTGTTGTTTGTGTCGTGTATTTAAATGGTGTGTCAAAAGACAATAGTGTACTGAAGGTGTGTTTTTTTAACGGTTCCGGCCGTCGACACCACCCCATGGGTTGTCCGCCGCAATAAGAGAGAGATTCATATTATTATTAATAATAATAATTAGTGTCTAAAAGTTTTATTATTGATTTATCAAATGATTGGTCTCTACTTCTTATTAATCGCTCACATAATTAATTAATTGACAAAAAACTCTCTAATTATACGAACAATTGCTAAACAAAATAATGTAAAATAATCTCTTTAATTGTCTGATCGCCGCTCCGCTGTCCCGACGGAAGTGTTTTTTATATTTGTTTGACAATTACCGTTGATATCGACCGCAACAACAGCTAAAACAGTACCACTACTGCTAAAGACACGCACTTTTTATTTGTTTAATTAAATTGTGGTCTTATTTAAGACACCGAAGACATGATTAATTGTGTGCGAAGACTGTCTCTCTATATACTAATTGATTATCGCTTTTAAAAATCTCTTTTTTCTCTAATTATGAATTTTATTGTTTTGACTGATTATTACATAACAAACAAAACAAATCGATAGATGAATATAGAGTGAAATCTCTGTTGTTTTTATATATTATATAAACTATATATTGATATGTTGTTAACTATTTCTAATTGGGTCTATCAGTGCGGGCGGGGGTACGGCTGGTGGCCAGCAGTGGCCACCGCTTACCTCTTGCCGGACCACTGGACCGGACGTGGGATATATGAGGGCTCAGTGTCTGATATACTTATCAAAAATTTCTATACATTTTTAGGGGTAATCGCGTCTCATCTCAATAATAAAATCTCTCGTTTACTAAACGTTTATATGAACTAAAAAATCGATAAACTAATAGGATTTTAGCCGTAATTTACTATTAAAATAATATTTGTTAAACAAATTGTTTGACAATAAAATAAATGTTTTGTTTTTCTTCACAAATCAAAATGATAAACAAAATGACAACTTTTTTTGTACTAACGATTTACTAATAAAAATGCTTTTTTATATTTAACTAACGCTTTAATTATTAACAATGAAATAGAGGTTTAGTTAACAATCGATGTCCGGAGACATGTGTCCCGTGAAAGCCATACAACAGTTAAAAGGTTTGATTTTCATATGCAATGCATAGTAATAATGATAAAAAGCCGAGAAATAAATTAATCTCATTTTATTTAAATTTTAAAATCTGTTTTAATTAAATTAAAATCTAATTTATCTTCTTAAACACAAATTCGTGTATTATTTTAGACACAAATCGGTGTCTAAAACGCTAAGACTTCGCAAATTTTAATATCAATTAATTTCGACTAAAATCATAACAAATAACTAATATTGGATAAAGTAGTAGAAGTAGTGGTGGTATTGTCTGATGCCGTACTCCATGTCCACCACCACTGCGGCCACACTAGTGATACTTGGCTTGTCTGTGATGTCCTGTTGGGGGCATAAAAACAGATATCGATTACAACACACATAACCACCGGAAAGAGTGGCCGCAAAAGCCGATCACACAATACGTACGCAGAGTCTTGTAATTGAGGAAAAAGAAGAATAGAGAAATGGACCAAAGCTTCATATTCATGCCACGGCCCGGGTATGCGAACCGCGGATTAACGAACCGGTGCTCAAACCGATAGAAGGCGCGCATCATTGCCTGAAACACAGCCACCGGATGGACGTTACGCCGATTGAACCACTGGACCAGTTCTCCCACCTTCACGTCCGCCAACGGAGTGTCCGCTAATCAACACAATTGACAACACATTAAGTATTAAAACCATAATAAGTATCACAACTGGTCTCACGTTTGCCATAATAGCGGAACGGATAGTACGGCCCGTGAACTGCCTTATTGTAGTCCTTCGGGAGGTTTCCGAAGTATCGACTCACGTCCATCTGAAGAGGAATAGATCAATGGCAGGGAGATTAATGCATGTGATTATCAATGAAAACACATCACTATCACTACCACCACATCCACAGTGACAATGATATGTCACGTGCGATGGTGTGTGTGATGTGATGGCACTCTTGTCAAAGACTTACCACTAATTGTCTGACGTCTAGCGATTGGATTCACTCAAGTGATGATCGATTGGGAAGTGTTTGCAATCACTTCTTGGCCTTCAATGACAACAAAATGTCTGCAACTGTTGAGCGCATGCGTTGTCCCATACGTTGGGGTCGTTCATAGATTACGTGATTTGTGTTCTGAATGGGAGGGGAGAGAGGGATAGGGAAGCGGATGGGATGGGAAACAACTCCTCATTCATTGATATTCTCCAAGACATAAGTGGTTAATGAATGTGTGTTTGCATTGTATGGCCTGAGAGTGTCTTTGTGCCCAACAATTGGCTATAATTGATGGCAACCATCAGATGATCACCTCTTGAGTGAATGGCAAATAACTTTACAATACTTTGTATAAGTTATGGCTTTTAATACTAGAGACCGGTTTATCACTTGACTCGTCTCTCCCTCTCTCTCTCTCCCATTCAGAACACAAATCACGTAATCTATGAATGACCCGAACGTATGGGACAACGCATGCGCTCAACAGTTGCAGACATTTT